ACACTGAGTAGAGGAATACAACTGCAGCTATCGTCCAGCTTTAGCCCTAAAACACATCATACGTGTTCTGACTCTCATTACTTATGTAATGAAGATAATGACTGAAAGTGTTCCTCTAGAAACGATTTAAAGAAGTTGTATCAAATTGTTGAAAAGTTATAGGCCTAATAAATAAAAATTATACCGATAGGCTACATAATACGGCCTTTCAATAAGAAATAAAATACTGTAAATGTAATTCTTATGTGTAATACAATCAAACGAAAAGTTATTTCTCATTATTAATCAATGATTTATATCGATAACTGAGGTATAGCTGGACATTTTGGGTCATGATCACCGGACACAGACTTTCTATCTATAATATATATATATAACACATGAAGGCAGCATTACAGAGGAACATCTTCAGCAGCACTCAGAAGAAACTGACCTCCCTCTCTCGCATACAAACGCTCACATTCATTTAGGACATATATGCCCTGATGCTCAAGGCCCGGCAGGGGCCACAGACAAAGCTGCTCCCGTTCACTGTAACTTTATATTATGTTAGATTATTTCCCACAGTGAATATGTCTGCCCCTGAAAACGAGCAGATACTCCTAATTGAGTCTGTGCGCAAAAGTTTGGGCACGCGTTTGACAGCACATGTCCCCGTGTGTAACCGCGTAGATACGTGTGTTCAGTGTGTGTGTCAGGTGGAATGCAGGAAAGGTATCACCAGGCCTATCATTTATGGCACTGAGAGGTTGGCTTTATAAATAAATCTAATATTAAATTATGATTTGGGGATTATGACGCCCGTGGGTGCAACCTGTACTGTAACACAGTGCTGACTGATCTTGCAGTCAGTCTTGCCCCTCACCCACCGCTCTGAACTGTACGTGCGCAACTCACACACTTAGCCCACGTCACATAGTGTGAGGTACGCATGAACGCAGAGCTCTGACGAGATAATGCCATAACACCATAACCTACAACTACAGTGTTAGCAATTCTTCACTTGAAATATGAAAGAAATATACAGGATGCAGTTTATTGAAAATGAAAAAAAAAAAAGCAACATTTTCATAAAGAAATCATTATTTGGATTTAGAACACTTTTATTATTTATTGACTAGTTCAATATTTTTCATTCAAGTGTAAGTTCCTAGTTATTTGAACACTGCAGGCCTGTACAAGATTTACGTTAGTAATGATTTTAGACTAAATGAACACAAGCCATAAAGTTCATTTTGGGCGTTAAATTTTAATCATACAATTTTCTAATAACATTTTATTCAACAAGCTTGTTTTGTTAAAACACTACACATTTGGTGAAATTTGATTTCGACTTCGATTAATCATTTTCTAAAAAATTAATAATTAGTCTTATCGCGCCGCAGCTGTGGAAGCCCGACAGGATTTATCAGTGATTTAATAATTTTATTTTTAATCCGGCATTTTTGGCTCCAGCCATAAATGTATTTCCTATCAAGTGGAGAAAATAGCGCTCACACCCTTTATCACCGGCCTCAAGTATTTTCTTAATCAAAACATAAGTGAATTCTGGCAGTGGGTGCCTGGGTGGGGAGGGGGTGCTGCTGGAGATAACACAAGGGTGGTTTTATAGATAACACTCCACTGCTTGGCAAAGTCAGTGACATTTGAAATGTAGTCTAATAAACACGCCCACACACACAAAAAAAACTTTCTATATTTCATTTGAGACTCTAATTGTTTTTATACCTCTATGTTTCTATATTGTCCACACACTGGTTCCGATACAGGTTCCTGCATCATCCTTAATATCACCCCAAGCATGACTGAAAAGCTACTGCTTTAACTTCAATAAAGGATGCTTTCTGTAAAATAACGACAAAGTAACAAAGTCAGAAGACCTCAGTTAAGCAGTTCAGGGTTGGGGTTAGTTCAGACGAGGCCCATCCTGCAGGTTCAATTAAAGGAGCAGCAGAACGAACAATAGTAGGAAAAACTTCAATTTTAAAAAGAGTTGAATGTGCAGTTTGCCCTGGTTTTAGGTTGTGTGTGGGTGATGATTCATTTAATGTATTAATGACAAGAAAACGACCTAATCTGCATAGTTTTTCCTTCTTTTCCTTCTTCATTCTTTTTTCCTTCATACATGTTCCTTCTTTTTAGGTTTAGCCTGAGAACATATTGGACTAAACTTTAACTGAGCATGAAAGTCGACTTTTGCATCTTTGTAAATCTGTAATACTATTAAACCAAAACATCAAAACATTCCAGAAACTTCTGGAGGAGTCTGCAAGTTTATCTCAGACCCTTCATCTGCAGCCTATCAAAGCTGGCCTCTCCTTGAGGGCGGGGGGGTCTTTGACACGTTTAAATAGAGGGTGGTCGAGCTGAAGCAATATTCAGCCTTCTTTTTCGAGCCTGAACAAACAATAAACAAGAGCCACCATGGTTGAGTGGACTGAGCAGGAGCGCGGCATCATCACCAGCATCTTCTCCAGCCTGGACTATGAAGACATCGGCCCCAAGGCTCTGTGCAGGTATGGAAAAACCCAGCTCCTGACACCCCATCATGCACTTTCAGGACTTTATCCCATGCTGAATTATCGGTTGTCTCCTCCCCATGCAGGTGTCTGATCGTTTACCCCTGGACTCAGAGGTACTTCGGCGCCTTCGGCAACCTCTACAATGCTGAGGCCATCAAGAGCAACCCGAACATCGCAGCCCACGGCGTGACGGTGCTGCACGGTCTGGACCGGGCTGTGAAGAACATGGACAACATCAAGGCCACTTATGCCGAGTTGAGCGTCCTGCACTCCGAGAAGCTGCACGTCGACCCCGACAACTTCAAAGTAAAGCCTCTCTCACCTTCAGCAGTCAGCTCACACGACCTCGCAGAAACTCACATATGTTTTGGGATATAAAATGCAGACATACCAAAGAGAGTTTCCCTGCGCATAATGTCAAAATGTATCTTCAAATCCTGTGCACACGCACAAATATTTAAAGTTTCAATATGCAGTTTTCTTGGATGCCAAATCTATTTATGTAGTTTTATATGAAAGGCATTTAATGTTTTTTTTCCTCTTCTTATAGCTGCTGTCTGACTGCCTGACCATCGTCATCGCCGCCAAACTTGGAAATGGCTTCACACCAGAGACGCAGGCCGCCTGGCAGAAGTTCCTGGCCGTCGTGGTGTCTGCCCTGGGAAGGCAGTACCACTAAGCCCAGCAGCTTCCACATCTGGACACCCAAAGGAGACCTGACGTCTGTTTACATGTGTCACGTGTTTCCTCAATAAAGAAATAAAAGGCACACTGAAGCAAAGTTTCTTGGTTGTCCCTATTTTGGTTCCTTTATGCGTGCGCAATTACGCACAGCCACACCGAGCTCCGGTGGTGATTGGGGAAGGTGCGAAGGAAAAATGACAGAGCCTAATAAGAAATTGCCACAATTACTCTATAATAAGGTTATAATGAGCTTTAAAAGAGTCAGTCATAGTGAATTTCTAACCTACCAACCCACCGTGGTTTAAAAATATGGCATTTATGTATGTTAACGTTAAGCGCTGTGTATAGTCAGTGGCGTACTCTGGCTGTCTGAGGGGCAAAAAACAGCTGCTTGAGCAGCAGCAGAAAGTCATGATGCATTTATGGTGAAACAGTTCCAAACCCCGGTTAAGATTTAAATTGTTTTATTGTTATTATTTATAGATTAACCTCTGTAATAAAAACGCACAGGGAAATATCAATTATTTAACCATGGAGGTAATGAATTATGTCAACTAATGTTATAGCACGAAGGGCAGCCTATGTGGCAGTGTTTTTGTTGCAGGGACAGTTTACACTGATAAAACATTGCTGTAAGTGAGTTAGAAGAGAGGTTATTTTTCTCCTGTAGTCCCTGGACGGATGTTACGGTTAAGTCACCCTAGAAATAGATTATAAGATTAAAATCATAAAGTTAAAATAAGCTTGCAGAACAATAATAAAAAAAACATTTTAAAATTAACAGAAACACGATGCTGGACACCCTTACATTACATTTTCAGGTTCAATTTAAAAACATGCAGCGCCGAGGCTCATAATGCAAAAGCACATACAAAACAGTGTAACGTTTTCTCCACTAAAAGGGCACATAAAGGGCACTTATCCCGTTTTCTCGCACACCGGGCCACCGTAGAGGGCACTGAATAATGTATTACACTTTTCTGTGTTTTTCTTTGAACCCCCGAGCCTACCAGTGGATATAGTAGATGGAGCCTTTGCTATCTCGTTTGCAAATCATTGGGGGAAAAAATTAAAGTCTAAATAAACGGTACACACGAGGATATTCACACAATAACAGTAAGCGTTACTCTCTAAAGGCATCTCTTGGATTGTTGTAAGGTTTTCGGTGTCAGCTGAGGACAAAGTAGACTTCAGTCTTGATGTCGTGGTTTTTACGTGTGACGCTTGAACTCATCACGCACTGGGATTATCTGAGCCTGCAGGTCAGAACAGATAAAACTGGTCTTGGTCTTGGTTTAAATTCAGCAACCAAGGATTTTTCTTCTCCTTTTTTTAATTCATTAGACACTCCCAAAAGGCTGTGAGGTAGTACTGAACAAACACTGCGGTGCAAATGCTCGTTAAATGCAGCAGGTGGCGCTGTGTGCATGTCTTGATGAAAGTGAAATAAGTCTTGGCTTCATTCAACTTCATTGGAACTTTCATCAATGTGTATTTGTAAGTCTAATCATGTTATCCCAGAATCAAACCAATGCAGACCTACTTATTCAGAGTAAACGGCTATGTGTTTGATTAGCTTATTGACTAGTGTGTATCTTCTTGTGATGATTTCATGGATTGTCTTGACCGTTAAACTGAGCACGGTGAGCAGTTTTTAATGGAGCAACTAGGAAATTAGATCCCAAAGTTGTATGCTAAGAATGTGACATTGCTGAGTCGTGTTCGCTGTTAATTTCAGCACCAGGGACAGCTCCGAACTCACTACAGCCAGTCACTTTCAGCACCAGGGACAGCTCAGGATTCAATACAAGTTTATTTCAGCACCATAGACAGCTCCCTATTAAACAGGCTAATTAACATACCATACATTTCTAATAGTTTTTATAATGCAGAAGAGGAGAAATGAAAACATTAAGAGGACAGATATCATGAAAACCCAACAATGTGCATGTTCAATCTATTTTCTTGAAACAGTAAGGTACAGAATTATACTGTAAAATAAACCATGTATCACCAGAAGGAACAGCTTTAATGTGGATGTTAACTTAATGTCTCCTTTTAAATGTGACCCCAATGATTTATTAGGTGAAATTATCTTCAAGGTGACAAATATTCCTTTTTGTCGTTTTCCCTGTTTAATGAATCCATTATTGGATTAAATACGATGCCAAACATGCTTCCACAGACTCGCCTGGTAGCAACAAGATGTGGATGTGCAGTTACATATTACATTTCCACAATGACTACTTGCATTGTAGCCTTCTCTCTAAAAAAAAAATAAAAATATATATATATATATATAGACACACACATACGTAAGTGTATATATATATATATATATTTTTTTTTACAATTTACTGCTGATATGCATAAGAGTTTTAGGCACAACATTTATTTTTGCCCAATTTTCCACTGGTTGGCTTGAAAAATGCTTAATCAAGGAATTTACTCATCATTATACACTTTATGTGTAACAAAATTTAAGTTTGCAGTTCTTTTATGCTACACACAAACAGATAATCAAATTCATAGAATAACAAAAACATAAATAAAAGGCAGGTAATAGTGTACGTTCACTATAAGTAAACATATAAAGTCATATAATATGTCACTGCTTTAATAAGGAAAGCAAAATTTAAATATAATATATATAATATAATACCTCACATTGAAAATGTTTGACATGAAACTGAAGTAGTCCTGATTGTACATTATTATGTCTGACACATCTGCCAGATTGTACCTATTCATCTCATCATGAAGAGTTTCTTTTGGTCAGTCTGGAGAGCTGACATACAGTATGTGTCCCCTTCGACTTTCAACTGTGAGTGCTCTTGATGATAAAAGGCTGTGAAGAGAAAAATAGAAATACATAACTTCTGTAAGACTGGTAATAAAAAAATATACATGTATATCAGCAAATTAGTTTTTTTCTCACCCGTTCTTTGGGTATATGAACACGCCATCACTGCAGACGGCATCTTTCACAGGATCGTCCATCTGACACCACAGCCATGAACAGCCCACACTGTACGAGACAGAGAGGAGAGAGAACCGTGGATACAGAACATACCTACTGACAGCCGCAGTGTAATCATCTGGGTAAACCTCATTATAACTAACAACAGGGACACAAATTCAAGTTACCTGCCTGGTCTTGAGAGACTTGACTGATGTCTCTCCGCAAACTCCTGCATGTCTGTCAGGCTGCACAGACAGGTCTTCTGGTGCCATACTTTAGCTCAGAGGTTCCTCGTACTCTTCTGGCTCAACCTTTACTGTCACAATCTCTGTTTCCACAGACTCCTCCTCTGACTCCGACTTCACAGAAGACTCCCCTGGCTCGTACTCCAGAGGCTCCTGATATGACTCTGGGCTTTAACAAGCAAGTGTAGAGAAGAGCAAATAAATCATACGTGATATCCAACAGTAAACAAAAGTGTGTGCTGTCTCTTGAGGTACCTGTCAGCGGCCACGGCACTCTCAGTCTCGTTGTTATAGTTGCTTGGGTCGTCATCAGAATACGAGCACGGGTCGTATCTAAACCTCTTGACTGGTGTGTCGTTTACAAAATCAAGAGAAAACTCAAGTGTAGAAGTGTCACATTCAACACTCCTGTGTGGGGCCCTGGCCTGTACAGCTGTGAATAAACCACACAAATTAAATGCTGAGATTAAACAAAAAGAGCAACATTAGTACAGAGGTCCCTCGCATAATTAATTCAATTTAGTGGCCAATATGTTTTGTACGGTCAATTTTAAGGACTTAAAATGAGCGTTGGCCACAATGAGAGAACATTAAAAACACACCTGCTGGGATTAAATGCAGAATACCATCTGTACTTCAGTGTTAGATTAATAAATCATCTAAAATAGCAAATAACAAAAGGGTTTTTAGTATTCCGGTGCCCAAAACTGGTGTCTTTATGAGTTAACCAGATTACGAACTGACTGTACATCTTACCTTTACTTCTCTTGAAGGGCTTCCTGTTGGCTTGTGTTGAGACGTTATGTTTTCCAATCTGAACAGTCTGGCACCTGACGTGGTTCACACATGGCTCCGCTCCACAAAAAGCATCCACGGTCCTCACCTCAGTCTGGCAACCCACATCTTTAAGGACTTTGGACTGAGGTAAACAGAATATCAGACCATCATAATAAATCTACAAAGTCACACAAAAAGGAGCCAGAACTTTTGACTCTTTCCTTGAACCACTGGCAGAAAAGTGCCCGACATAATTAGATATGATAAGTTACAATATATGTTATATGTTATGTTACTTGTGCAATATGTTTTGTTGTTAGTATTTATTTTTAATGATAGGGGTATTTTATTCTGTTTATTCTGCCTTACCTCTATATGCTTTTAATTGTTAGGATTTTATGTTTTGCCTAATGCCTCCTGAAATGTTTTTAATCCTGGTTCGGACCATGTAACTTTGATTTAAAAAGTGCTGTCGAAATAAAGTTTACTATTATTGTTGTTGTTGTTGTTGTTGAAAGGATACAAAATGCTATAAAGTTGAACGAAATGATAGAAGAATAAATACAATCCAACTTAAAAAGTTAAAGGCGCTCCAGCCCTGCTAAGTAAATTAGCTTGAGACTCATTTTCAGCTCTTACCGGCCGACCCTCCGGTGGATTTGGAAGCGCATCGTCGGTGAGGTGAAGCCGGACAGCGAAGCCCATCTGGGCCTGGGTGTAGTTGGTGAAGCACTCCGGGGAGAAGTGGAGGGCGCAGACTTTGAGCTTGGAGGTCCGAGAGTCCTCCGCCATGCCGAGGATCTGCAGCCACCGGAGAGCCCGCACACGGTCAGTCGGGAAAGAAAGCAGCTTCGTGGTGCTTTTACAACCCGGGAACGAACATGTCATCACCATCCTGCGAAACCCTTGGAGAAGACTTGTGCTAACTAGCTAACCTAGTAGCTAGCTAGAAATCAACACCGCAACTGTTGCTGTCACCAAAACTTGGACGAAGTGAGCCTTAACACGGAAACAACGATACAGTAGACTCATTTGGACACGTAACTCTTAGTAGATAGTCATAAAAACACCTATCAAATGCACTTTTGTAAAAGTTTTAGATATATATTCCATAATTTTGAACATCTATCGAGTTGGTTATGATTTCTTCTTCTAGGGCGGTCGCTTCCTTTGTATTTATTGGCGGTAGCAAAACTTCTGGCTGCATTAGCGCCACCCACTGGACTGGAGTGTAAAAGCACCACACTGTAGAAACACTGTAGCCTATTATAAGCAGTGGTGGTGACTTTATGCCCCCATTTTTTAATTTAAAGCGGCTGTCCAGCAAAGGATCAACGCCCTGTGTTATAAACAGTGACATCTATGAGTACTTTTGTATATTTAGTTCACCCTAAAATGGGCCAGTAGTAGTTGACTTCAGGCAGTTAGGATCATTATGAATTTAACATTAGACACAGAAGATCAATACTGGCCCACAGACTACAGGGTGAGATAACTATATTATTATGCAAGTATTCCTTACTGCACCCACTCCGAGTCATTAACTCTGTCATGCAGCTGAGTATAATATTATCTTACCAAATGATGGTGCTGTTGCAGTATATATAACCCAGGTCAGTCTGCTGTTATTCTGCTGCTGTCCAGCAGGCTATACCATAGACAAGACCTGTGGGTTGGCCATGAGTTTGGCCACTGATTAGCACTGCATATAAAACCCAGAACAAAGTCAAACAGCATGAATTTGATTTCTTGTATTCCCACAAACATTAAAATGCCCCAGCATTAAATTACTGAAAGCTCACTGTGAGGGATTACTCGTCTGAAGCAAGTTTTAAGTCTCAGAAAGAGAGATACCTTCAAATGAAAAAAACAGTCTAACTACTATATGGTATGCTTTAAAATTGGTCAGCAGTACATCATTTGTATAATAATGGGATGTCCTTCCAGGCTTTACAGGGTAATACGACGCAGCAGCAGGAAAGGTGTTAAATTGCACATTTTTATTATTACAAAACATTGCATTATAACAACCACACATACATAAATATTGTATTAAATATCATACGGCATCATAAATAGTTCATATACTTCCTGAAAACAGGTGGCTGGCTCTCATCTGTATTTCTCTGCGAGCACAGCTGCGAAAGCTGACAGGTACTTGTCCATTGCTGCGTGTGCAACTGGTGTGAAGTCGTCGCCCATGTGACAGGCCAGGGTAACGAGCATACAGTGTGAGAAAAGCTGCAGAGAAGAGAATGGTTTGTTATTGACGAAGGACTCAATGCTGCATCAGCTGAGGCTCAGCAAAAACTAATAAAAATCTTTAAAAAAACATATTAGGATGTCAGTATAATTAGGGTTTAAAGTGTTTTATGAGGCTTTCGCCTGCAAATAAACTAGTTTGTACAATGAGTCATGTGACCCGCTTAGACTGCCAATTGTACATTACTTTCCAGAAGTAACATGAAGCTGTAGTTTAAAGCATATATAATGGTGGCATATTACATAACATGTCATAAAATATATGACTCCTGATTCTTTTGTAAACCTAATATTCTAAATGTAACTCATGTCAGTGTTGTAATTAAAGTCAGTTTCTTCTAAATATCTGACACTTATACTGTCACAAAAGCACCACTGACAACCTAGTGACAAATTCAGATATAAGACTGAATACTCAGAAAACTCACCCCCAGCCCCACTCTCAATCAGATAAACTGTCCAAAGTGCTCCAACAAGAACATAGCAGACACAAGGGAACCCCTGCAGCTGTGTGTTTATCAGTGAAGTAATTGTGTTTCCAAAAGACCAAAAATCTCCTCTGATACTACAAAACAAAACCTTGGTTAGTGTCATTGGTAACACCTGTGTTTACACCACTGTTTCAGGTCAAAATGGCTGCTGTAAAAAGGTCTGTTATATTATGTATATGTTAAATTTGTGTTTTTATGGGAAACAGAAATAGATATGCTCTGCAGTAAAATGCAAAGGTGTATTCCACAATATTTCGTGTTCCCAGTCAGTATTGTATATCTCCATATACGGAATATAATGTTAAATGCACATTAAGCTACATGTTGAGAGAAATATTATAGACATGTTGGTTTTGAAGCTGTAAACAGCTGCTGTCAGTAGAGTTTGATCTGATATGGGCATGAGATGATGTCATTTCCACACCACTGAAAACTCTATGAAGAACTTGTGAGTGTTATTATCACCATCAGTGGAACTGATGTTCTAGTAGTGGCACCTTGAAGTTGGTCGGGTCTATTCTGAGCTGGTAGGCATGCAGGGTTTGCAGGGGAGCCAGGTTTACGGCCAGCTGGCTGATGTCTTGCGCTCCCTCTGCTATAGCCAGAACAATCTTTTTCCCATGAGAGAGCAGGTGAGCGGAGCGAGGACTGATGTCTAGATGGGAGAAGTACGTCTTGGTTCCTGGGAAAGTGGCAAACATCCTGTGGAAGAATTGGGAAAAGTGCTGTAATGATCAGTGGAGGAATGTAACTAAGTACATTTACTCAAGTATTGTACTTAAAGTACAAATTTGAGGTGCTTTACTTGAGTATTGCTATTTTATTGTATTTTATACTTCCGCTGCACTTCATCTCAGAGGCAAATATTGTATGTTTTAGTCCACTATTTAACTATAAAGTAGTTCAAATGAGCTTAACCAAAAACATGGTCAGCAGTAAAATACTATGTACACATAAATGCAGCAGTAATCCAAAAACAAGTGAACAGTGAAGTTGCAACTAACTGAACACAGCTCGCGTCTGTATTTGACAACATGGAATGGGACAGGGGTGTGGAGTGTGTAGAAGAAACTATGTGAGAGGCCCTATGTACAACCAGTGTAAGGTAACGAAAACACAACAATTCCTACAGTTTGTTCTGGTGATTATACACTAATGAAAAATATACCTATGAACATTATATTCCATTTCTGACAACAGATCCTCCTCAATGTTACACACTGGACCTTTAAGTAACGGATCTGAACACTTTTGTCATTGAAATACAAAAACATTAGCAATGGAAACTGAGTCTGGCCACTCCTTTAAGTGCTTCTCATTGATGCCATCATCATCATCAGTGGACTCACAGCTCACTCATTTGAACATTTCACTGATCTTGGATCAGTGCCAGCATCTAGAAACCACAACCTGAAGTTTCCGAGTAAACCATCAACATCTGAGTCATTTTAATTTACATGGTGCAACGCTCTCACATTGGATTCATTCATATAAACCAACTGCCAAACCAATAGTTAATAAATAATTCACCAATGCTTTGTAACCATCAAGTCTGAGGTTATAAATGTCACAAACTTATTAAAAAAAAGGTTTTAAAAAAACATAATTTTTTCACTGACGCATGCTGGTTCAGCAGAGCTCATATAGCTCTTCATACCTATATTGAGCCTAATTGTTTGTTTTTTGTCATTGTGATTGAAGCTTTAACATTTACAAACAAACAAAAACCAGACTTTTGTCTGTATCAGCAGTTTATTTCAAACCCACAGAAAGTTTCTATGTTGGAAATGTCTTATGAACCTACCTAAGAAGCGCATCTGACCCAATATCGTCTGCCACAGGAGTCAGTCTTCCCCATATTTGTGCAATGAGGTCTTTCTCCCTCTTTGAGAGCATTGCAGCCAAGAGAGTGAGGTGACTTCCCAGCGGAGGTCACAGTCAGATTCACACCAGGCGACAACGATGTGTGCGTAAAAGCTGTTAATCGACCATTTTATCACTTCACTGATGGCCGCTGAACGCAGAAACGGACGCAGAGTGAAAAGGAGATGAAGTAATAATTCCTTCCCTGTGTGGAGAAACCGAGGTGTCTTGTTGTTCCCCCCTCCTCTGCGTTATCGGAGCGCAGCCGGGGCAGGGTGGGGGCTCCGCACTACTGCGCTATCTGCTGCTGTATGTGCGTCACACTGGATGTTTCTACCATATCATTCATGTGGCTGACCTCAGTGCAGCTGCAGAAGGGGGGTTCTTCTGATGCTGCTCAACTTATTTTTGTGTATTAGGGATTATAGGGATAATAATGTTTCAATAGGTAAAGTTCATTCTCATTATTTCCTTGAGTTATAACTGCTAGTTACTTATAACTCCACCTCTTGTGTATAATGTCTTATTCTACACTTTGACAAGGAGGAAATAGTCAAAATGTGTGTCAGAGGCTTCATTGCAGTAGATATATTGCAGTGTGTCAAGGGCTTGTTTCTGATGAAGTCTCTCAGCTGCTGCTATCTGCAGCTCCATAAGCTGCTGGACAGTGGGTGTGAGGCCAGCCTGCATCAGATAACCGCTTCTGTGAGGACCATCAAGCTGCATCTCCCAGTGGACTTTACCTTTTGCTGTAACACAATATGTGTCTTTTATTTATGTATTTCAACTGAGAGCATCCTGCAGAGGAGCCAGTGAGCGGAGCAGGATCAATAATGACTAGATTTTGTTCAACAACAACAGGATCATTTGATTATTTGTCAAATATCAACAGATATTAATTTAGGAATGTGTGAATGTCCACCAATATCAGCTGATATTATGCTCTTTAGTGGTACATATTTCCGAACAAGGTTACAGTTAATCACATTGTTACAAATGCCACATGGTGAGCCTGTCTACTGGGGGCCCCTGTGGGTCTGGGGTTGTCTGGAGCAAGTGCCCTTTGCCCCACATTCATGATCTGGCCTTGATTTTTAGGCCCAGGTTTAGTCTGGAGCTGCATTAAACAGGCTAGTGACAAACTGATGAAGCACTCTTTTGTCACTTGGACTAGGAAATGTAAAGACTTAGCAATGTAACATAATATATAGGCTATAAATGGAGCTGTGCAGTCGAATTGATTGACTGACCTTTTTCACAGCAGCCATTTTGACATGAAATAGTAGGGTAAACACAGGTGTTACCAATTATACTAATTAAAGTTAAAGTACTTCTTTTAAATCTGATTTTAGGAAAACTGTATTATTGGATATTATGCATATGCATAAAATCTTAGTTAAGAAAAAGTTCACAGTATCACAGTCCCTGTAACATCCAACATCATAGCCCTCAGTTTACAGCACTGCAATCTAGCTGCTGCTGGGGAGGTAAACACAAAAACTGATTCAGTGTTTTTGAGAATTGAAACAATATCACAAAAAAAAAAAAAATTACTGAGATACTCAAGTGAATCAATACTTTCTTTCCATACCATTCAGGTCAAACAGAGTCAGTGTGATGCCATTGTGCTGGCTGGCTGCTGTAAAAAAGGTCTATTCAAGCAGTTGCAGGAACAACAAATGTCAGGTGTTTTTTATGAGTAGAAGGTTGTTTAAGGATGCCTCTATGAGAGAGTCAAAGGTTGGGGTGGGTAAGAGAAGGAAGTCTGTGCCAGGGAGGTTATCAGATGGGAACCTCCCATCACCCCCCAGCAGGCTCTGCAGCCATTATGATGACCTTGCACAACCCCCCACTGTTACCCAGTGGAGTGATGAAAACTGACTCAGCATAACGAGGAGGTCTCATGTCCTCACATTAAGAAAACTGCAGAGTCATGCTGTTTTGTCTCAAAGTGGTCGACTGGTATGATATAAAGTAAGAGGTAAGCATTATTAACCAGTACTTTGATTTGATAAAAAAAAAAATTCTATTGTATTTCACTCTTTTACATTACTGAACATTATTAAACTATTATACTCATTTTGTTGTTTTATATTGTATTGTATTGTATTGTATTGTATTACTTTATTAATCCCACAACGGGGAAATTGCCTTTTCACAGCAGCATTTTACGTGAAATAAATAAATACAGATATAAAAAAACTATTGTAAAGTGGTAAAGCTATGGTATGGTGGTAATTTGAAAATCAGAAACTACAACATTGATCAGGTGTTGTAGAGCTGCTGTAGGAGCTACTCATGGACCCCACAGCGTCATGTAGGGGGTGAGAGGTGTTGTCCATGATTGATGTCAGCTTCACTAACATCCTCCTCTCACCCACTTCCTCTATGGAGTCCAGAGGACAGTCCAGGACAGAGCTCGCTCTCCTGATCAATTTGTTGAGTCTCTATAGGTGGTAGGTGTTTAATGCTATACATATGCCAAACATCCTGTATGTGCAGTTGCCATTCTTGTGAAATAAACAAACTTATTTTCTTGAAAGTAACTTTTAATGTTGAATATTTGCACTAAAAAGAAGGTTAACGAAGAAAAAAAATCCTTGCGCATTAAGTGGCTTTTGAAACTGAACAGAACAAACCATTTTGAATGAGTGATGAGAAGCTGACTGTCTTTTCATGAGTCATCATAGAGTGACTTGTTTGAGAGGTCATTTTCAGATTTTATGTGTTGTTGTGTGACCTCACCTGCTGCAGGTAAAACCTCACTGCTCCAGGTGAGGCTTGAACTCACAACCTCGGCATCACTCTGCAGGTTACTGTCTTATAAGTACCGCGCGCTGACCGATTGCGCCACTGGAGCACAACACCACTGTCCCACTATCTTGATTATGCCCACACTACTGATAGGCCTTGTCAAGTTAAATTTGGGTGGAGCTGCTGGGAGTTTACTGAGGTCACCACCATCAGAAAAGATAAAGATTGAAGTTTTCTCTCCCCTGAACAGAATAAAAAAATTAAAATATAAAACAGGACTCCACAGCAAGTGCACATCCACACTGTCATCAAGTGGAAACAGCGGTGTAGGTAAACCAGGGAGGGTGTCGGTCTCTCCAGCAGTTAACTTTTGTTGTCTTGTGAACCATTTAACCGTTTGTTCCTTCCTTTTCTTTCACTTTGTGGAGCAGGGAGGGAGGTTAGTCCCCTGGGCGAGATGCTTTCACTGCATGTTGTGGTTAAAGGTGCTTGGACACTCCACTAGTCTGTCTATTTGCTGTGTTGCTGTGAAGCACTTGTGGTGGTCAGTACTTGAAGTTCTCTTAGTTTAAAAATCAAACTTTCTTTAAAAAGTGTTTAAAAGTAGTTATATCTATATATACAACATAAGGTTGCAATGTGTCTATATATATGTCCAATACAATAAAACACTTTGACAGAGGTCATTCTGCAACCTTAAGTGTACTTTAGGTACATTGTGCTGCTAATACCACTTCCACTGAAGTAAATCATAAAAGCAGAACTTTTACTTGTAATGGAGTATTGTTATATTGAGGGAGTACCCACATTTACACTGATCCATCAGTGGGTCAGTTTATAGAACTTTATGATGAAGTAATTGTTTTCCAAAAGCTGCTGTTCTCATCTGTTGACTGGAATCATACTACAAAAAACTGCCACTTAATAAAAACTTCTTTATTACTCCACAAGGTGGAGCTGTGAGGTAGAGAGTTATGTTTCTTCTAATACCACAGGATCTTTCATGATATTCAGATTCTGCAATATATATTTTGCTGATGTAGTTCATGTTAAATCAGTACTTAGGGATATGGACTTAAGGATGAAGATATATGTTTATGTGTGATATTTCCTGAAGAAACTTCAGAATTCACAGTTTATTTTGTTTGTCAAACAAATAGAAGAACAAACAAGACTTATAATTACTCCGGTAAAATTCTGATCCAAATATTCTGTCACAGCATTGTATATTGGTTTTGGACTGGACTTCACAGTGTTGTTAGCGGGTTAATTACATGCCTGAAGAAAGTATTTCATATTTTCAATTTAGTGTAGTTTGATTTATTGTTGTGGCCACGAGTTACAATCACTGTAATCCATCACAGTGATCATCTTCTTCCTCCAAAGGTTACACTGTCATCATGTGGAAAATGACAGGCCTTTTTATTTTAAAAAGTCTGCACCACATTACCATGCTCAAACACCGCCAAAATAAAAACAGATACAGTCTTAAGTCGGGTGAATAGCTATTCTACTATGTCCCAAGGCTCTGCAATTTGAATTTTCATATGGAAATAATGGATTAACATTTATAATTAATAAATATAAGTTAAACACTTTAGTTTTTGTTAAATGGCCAGCACTAAGGTATACATGATTTGCTAAAAATGAGCAACAACATGCAAAAATATTAGTATGGTCCTTTTAAAATAACCAACCAGTATATGACTGTATTACATCTGTTCCTAATTTTTCCTCTGAACCTAAACCATTTATTAAAAAAAAGTTTAATATAACAGCAAGAATCAAAGACATAAGGTGGAAAAGGGTGATAAATTCCTCATTTGAATAAACAGATTTCTCTGTAAAGTCTATAAAAGCTTCCTAAAGCATGAAACGTACCTTTGCAAGTCTCTCCTGTTTTCTGCCGCAGCTGATTATCCTTAAAGCTTGTTTCCTGCAGCTACGCATTGTAATCAGTTTTTACAAAAGGAAAGCAGTTCTCTGTATGTCCTGCACGTAATGTGACTCTCTTTCAGTGTGCAACACAACAAAGAGCAAAGAGTGTTGCAGTAAATAGTATTTAGAAACAAGCCTTCATTGCATAAGATGCATTTAGGCAGACATTTGTATGTACGTATATATGCACCTGTGTGAAGTGAGTGTGTGTGTGTATTGTAAATGGTTTAACCTGCCAAACATCCTGAAAGTTCGGCTGACAAACAATAATCTAAAACTGAAACAAAAATGCACCAAACCTCCAAAGACACTCGACCCGAGCACAGGCGGTTTCCTCCTGTCTTTACTGGTAACTCACATGTATAAAAGCTCAGGCCCAGTCCCTCCCAGCACTGGCCGGTTTGTCAGAAAGTTTGCCAAGAGTGTTTCCTGTGCTGGTCTCCAGGACTTTAAAGCTGAATGTAACCGAGCAACTTGGACCTAAACAGGCAGAAGGAGGAAACACAGTCTCTCTGCAATGCTCAGGACACACAACAGACACAGATGCTTACCCATTCCTCACTTACACCTTCACACACACACACACACACACACACACACACACACACAC